GTGAGGAATTTATGGCATTTATATTTTTGTTAGCATTTGAAAACTCTTATTAGCAATCATTCTTTTACCTGCTCACTTTCTTTAGACTCACTGTTAGTTATTTTAATAAATTATGCACTTTGAAAAAAAAAATTTATCTACTGGAGGCCGACCAACAACTGCTGCTTCTTTTATAATATGAATTGACTTGATTATTGGCTGGAATTATTTAAACCATACGAATTGAATTCCTTGTGATGGAACAAGTTAATAGTGATCTTTACCAAAATGTTAAAGTTGAATTGCCAAGAAACCCATACGTTGAAATCCTGGAGGAATGTTTATTTAATCCTTATAATATTGCTGGAATTGGCTTTCGCTTATATTAATTATGTGGATTTGAATTTGATAACACAAGAATGTAAGCATGTACCTTGTACATTCTTATACAAATTTTTTACAATCTTATGTTGAATATTATTCTCATACAATTTTTTCTGTGCGCCTTTGCGAGGTAAACCTGACCGCTGCAAGGCATTAGAGGAGCATGAAATTACCTTAGAGCAGACAAGACAGAGCAGACAAGACAGGACGAAATTACCTTAGAGCAGACAAGACAGGACGACATCAAGCTTTGCATCGGTGAGATCAATCCAAAACCACTTGGCTTTTATTTTAAAATTTTTTCTTAACTATATTGAAACAAATATAATATTGAAACATTTAAATTTACAAACTTTCAAACCCAAATCAACAATAATAAATACCAGTTCAAAACACATTGTAAAAGAACATGTTAAATATCTGTAATAAGTTATTTTAGATATGTTCTCTCTTCTCTCTCCCTTCTTCTCGAGACGAGACGACGAAGCCATCAAATGACGGTCAGCCTTCAGGCAGCAATCGGGGCGACAACAGAGAGACGGCAAAAGAAGCTTCGGCTGGATTTCGATAGTTTTAAATAACATATCTATAGGACGCTGAGGTCGTTCATCTGACACGACGTAAATCCTCATACACTATCTCTCAGGACTTTCTACGATTTTATATAGTACGATATAAGTCATTAAGCTTTTTAGGATTCTGAAGTCGTCGTTCGGTACGATATAAATCCTCACATTTCCTCAAGCAATTTACATATGAAATCATATGAAATGTAATTATATATGAAATGTAATTATAAGCCCCGAGTATCTAAATAATTTGCAAGACTAAAACATCAAATAATTTCTCTTCAAAGATGTAAAGCCAAACCATATGTTAATTCGAGATGTCACTGAATCTCCTTCAGTATCTTCGACATCTCCTACTCTTCACTCATTTGGATTCTGGAAATAACTATTCCTATTTGAACATATCCCATTTGACTTTTCCTATAAGCAATCGTGTAAACCTGAACGTTGAATTCTTGAAGACGAAACCTCTAATAATTATTGAGAGTTTTCGCAAATGATTCCTGTCATGTTTTCACTCCCGTCATTTGAGATGTAATTAACTATAAGGGTTTGCCTCTATAGGGAATTAAGAACTCTGATTAATATAAACCTCATCTAATCTGTGCATTAGATAGAAGAACTTGTAGATTATAAATTCGCAGACCAAAATAGAGTCATAAACTTTTAAGTTTAGATAGTTAAGCCTACTAATAAGTGATACGATCACCCTTCGAGATGATATATCATTTCTGGTATCGTGCTGAGCCATTTAAACTATTAGATATATGAAGTCTATCCGGTCTCAACATTTTTCCAAAAAAAAAAAAATACAATTTTTCACAAAATTAAAATTACATTATATATTATACTAAATTTAAATTTTAAAAAATCTTATTTTCAAAAAAAAAAGAAAAAATCTACAGTAAGACATAACATATTTCTGTACATATCCCACTACAAAATAAATATTAAAATAAAATTAGAAACAAATCTAATTTTTCAAAATTATGAAATAGATGACTAAAGATCATTTCATCCAAATAAACTGATTATTCATGTTCAAAATCTTCCCACAAACCTCAAAAAAAACACAAAAAAAAAAAAAAAAAAAAAAAAAAAAAACTTCATGACAAAACATTAACAAACTTCATAACAAGGCTAAATAACTTACAAAATAATAAAAATATTTGAAAAGTTCAATTAATGTAAAGCGACTGAATTACTCCTGATGAAATAGTTATCTAGTTTTTAGTTTTATTTTTATTCTTATTTATTTTTTAAGTCACAACGAGCCTTTAGGCAATATGAGAGTGGTAAACACAACTTCGTCTCTATTATGCTCAAATTACACTCCTAAATTTGATTATCACCAATATTAGCATAAATAAGGCCGAAATATTATTTGTATAAAATGTTTGAAAAAATGCAGCATCACCCTTTCCAATAACTACTAGTTAGAGTTTATCATTCTAATTTTGCTGGGCTTGGATAGTTTTGACAGGGTATAGAGCTAATTATTTTTCTTCTGTGTGTGTGTGTGTGTAATTTTGATGGGCCAATGATATTAGAATTGCCATTCTCTACTTATAACATTTTTTTACAATGAATTTTTCTTAGTAGCGATTTTCCACATTAGAGCCTTTTTTTCCCCCCTGAAAGTTTATATTTTAATATTATTCTTGCACAAGTACTCACAACGGCCATCTTATTTGACTTGCAAGAAATTAATGTATTTTAACTGAAAGATTCAACAATTCAATGCTGGGACATATTATCCTCCAAACCATACTTTCCAATAATGTTTTAATAAACACTGGATATGCATTCATAAATAAGTTTGTAATATGAACAATTCGGGCTAAGCTTGAGTGATACTTATGTCACTCATGCTACGAAATAAATGTTAAAATATTAGTTTAATCCGCATTGAATATATAATTTAATGATATGTTCAACAATGTCTAAGTTAAACAATATAGAATTTGATTATATCTAACCTTTGACTCATTTGATATTTCGCTGATATATGCTAGGGGGCTTATTTGCCTTCCTTATGTATAATCTAGGGGAGGTTCTTCGTTTATCTTAATGGGAGGGGCAAAAAAATTTATAGTCTAGTTTACATCTCATCGCTAGTTGAATGATTCAAAGAGATTTGTCTTTCATTACAGGATATAAAAAGTTAGGCTAGGATATCATCAATTGATCAGAAAAAAAATTCAAAATTATTCGTTTATTTTGAACAGCTATGATATAATTTTTAATTAATTATGGATAGTTAAATTTATCTTAAATAAATATAATAATTTTAGACTCAAGCTTTATGTGATGTAATATTGACCCTTTTTTTTATTTTAAATTACTAGTTGAAGGCCAGTTTTCATTTTATTTGGTGCAGTATCACATGCGTCCTAGCTGTTACTGAGTATCTGTCTTCTTTTCCTTTAACAGTAACAATTTAATATATATTTTCTATGTAATTTGCATACATACCACCCAAATCCTACGTATTTACATATCCAACACCTAAAGTTTGCTCTACATTTCTCCCCCTAACCCCCCAAAATGTTTTATGTCATATTAAAAGTATCACTAGTATAACATCTAAAAGACGAAATACAAATTTTCATGCATGAGTAAGGGGGCAAATATGCAAACTTAAAATTTAAGTGTTGGATATGTAAATTTATAATAATTGAGTGGCATGCATGTAAATCTTCCCATATATTATAATATCACTATAAGAATTAAAGGTCGCATGTTCCTATGTCAATTATTTATTAACAAATAAAAGCAATAGAATATCTTGACAATGAAGTCAATGCCACAAATATTGAATATTGCATATTTGCATATTGCAAACAAATACTGCTTTTTAAAGCCACTATTTCTTAATATATAATCATCTACCTTCCAAAACCACCCAACCAAAGCAATGGCTTCTCCCCACATCTCAGAGCTGTTTACATATCTAACCTTCTCTACCTTCTATCTTCTCTCCACAGCTCTCGCCCTTGTCTTCCTTTATGTTTTTGGATCATTTCTCTCCTTTATCATCTTCTACCTCCAGGAATCCATTCACAGCTCTCACCGCCCTCCAGTCGCCGGCACCGTATTCCACCAGCTCCTAAATTTCAGCAACCTTTTCGATTACTTAACCAACCTTTCCATAAAACACAAGACCTTCAGGCTGGTGAAGCCCTCCCATAGCGACATATACACTACTGATCCTGCCAATATAGAGTACTTCCTGAAGACTAACTTCTCTAACTACAACAAGGTCTGTGCAACTGTATCTATCTCCAACATATTATGGAATCAAAGATTAATTAAATTATTTTATGCAGGGTAGAGTTAATTATGATATCATGAAGGACTTGTTCGGTGATGGAATCTTTGCAGTGGATGGTGAAAAGTGGAAGCATCAGAGAAAGCTTGCAAGCTATGAGTTTTCAACCAAAGTTCTTAGAGACTTCAGCACTGCGGTATTTCGGACGAAAGCTGCGAAGCTGGCAAAGAAGATTGCAGAGGTTGCGGGATCTGCAACTGGTGTAGATATGCAGGTTTTGTGATGGAAAATATGGATGATAGTAGAGTAGTTGATTATGTGTTTTATTAGTTTCCTTGTTTCTTTCGTTAATTGATATGAGTTGGTGTGGGACAGAATAAGAGGCTTACTTGCATAAGGCTGGTCTTTAAAATTAAGAATGTTCTTTCTCTTGCATATGACTCTGTTTATAGCCTAAGGGAAGCAAATCATTCATACAAAGCATTTTATTATGATAACAGAACAATTTCTAAACTAGGAGTTCATCTCTCTCCTGTCTCCGCTAAATTAAGTAAAAGTCTACCTCACCTCCTTACAGCTCATTCTCTCTCTCCCCTGCCTTGCATAGGCTGCCAAATCGAGTAACTCCACCTCACCTTCTTATAGTTGTTCAGTCCCGTCAACTCTCTCTGTCCCCCCACACATGCAATCAAGCCTCTGCACCACTCTCCACAGGTCAAAACCTGCTGTTGTCCCTGCTTCAACGCTTGACACCTTGTGCAGTACATCATTATCACCAATGTTCTTGAGGGTGTAAACAAAGCTGCAAGCTCATGCAATAACACGTGCCTATAGTCTCCATGCTCGTATTTGCATATAGCCTCCACCTGCGTGCCCTCTTTGATTCTACATCTACCTTAGTCGGTGTTTGGCTGCAACCTCTGGTTTTACGTATATAAGATTTATAAAATCTAATAAATCCGAATTTAACAAACCTTGTGCAACAGAGATGGAGCTTGCAAGCGATGTAGTAAATTCCTTAAATCCACCCCACAATTAGATTTAGTAAATCCGGATTCATGTTGTTAAAGAAACAGAACGAGAGAAATTTTGTTGTAACGGAACGTTGGATTTAGTTTTCATTTTTTTATGTTTGACTGGTTTTACCTTAAATTCATGCCAAAATCCTTTTAAGATTATGCTAACAAACACCCTCTTAGACTTTTAATTGCACCTTTTAATGATGGCTCCGATGGTAAAGTATGATGGTAAACATATGAAAAATGATGCCCCAATTTTGAACCCCAATTTTGAAGCCATGTATTAACTTCCAAATGATCCTTCTGCCACACCTACTGGCAACCTTGATATTAGTTTTGTGATTTAATATGATTGACAACACCACACAAATTGAACCAAAATTGCTTCAACTATCGTCAACGTTGTTCAAGAAATGTCCACTTGCAAAATGAAATAAGCCAATTGTTGATGTATCTATCAATCACTCTGAAATAGAAACTAATCAAAAGCAACACAAAGAACCAAATCCTGACTTAAAAAAATACAGCAGAAGAAAACAAAAATGTAAACAAGAACACCAAGGATTACGTGGTTCGGTCAATTTGACCTACCTCCTCAGGAAGGAAATAAACACAAATTTACTAAGGCAATCAACAAGGTTACACAGCCTAATCACCGAGAGATGAGCTCTCTTGCCATACTCTCTCTCTCATCAACCCGATACAAGATTCCTAAGATCTTCTCTAAGTTTCATAAAGCCTCTACTTACCTCACTCTAACAAACTGTTTTCATTCGCCTTGAACACTCTCAACATGCATCCCTCGTTATTTATAACTAATGAGCCTTCCCTAAGTAGACTTGTTCACCAATCAGAAGCCTTATTTCCTTCTTTAACAACAGTTGACATTGCCTTAGTCTAATAATTGTGAATCATCACAACAATTTTTCACCTTGACTCCCAATTACAAAACTACATAATAATAATTCCCTCCTCCCGGCCACAAAAGGCTATTAAACCTTAGTAGAGTTCATTAAGTCCAGACAATGTCAGAACTTAGTTGAAGATAATACCTTAGTGAGCATGTCAGCTGGATTCTCTTCAGTGGGTATCTTCTCCACTATTATCGAGCTCTTAGCAACATCTCTCACAAAATGAAGCTTCACGTCTATATGCTTAGACCTCTCTTGAAAAACTTGGTTTCTCGTCAAGTGAATTGTACTTTGGTTATCACAAACCACAGTTACAACATTCTGATGTATGCCAAGCTCTTTTATCATGCCCTTTAGCCACAAAGCCTCTTTAATTGCTTCTGTCACATTGCAATGTATTCAGCCTCTATTGTTGAAAGAGCTGCAACTGATCGGAGATTGGACTTCCAGCAGATTGCAGTACCAAAAACTGTGAAAATGAATCAAGCCAATGACTTACTAGTGGCAACACTCCCTGCATAATCAGAGTCGTCATAGCCAACCACCTTCTCCCTTTCATCCTCTTGCTTCTTAAACAGCAATTCCAACTCAGAAGTACCCCTTAAGTATCTCAGAGTCCATTTCAAAGCTTCCCAGTGAGCTTGTCCTGGATTTGCCATGAATCTGCTCATGATGCTGACAACATAAGCCAAGTCTGGTCTGTTGCAAACCATTCCATACATAATAGTACCAACCCTACTGGCATAAGGGACACTCTCCATATATCTTTTCACATCTTCACTCTCAGGTGCTTGAGAGTTTGACAATCTAAATTGTTGACCAATTGGTGTTGTAACCGGCTTAGCCTTATGCATAAACAACCTTACTAAAACTTTTTGAATATAAGACTTCTGAGACGAGACCAAGCTGCTCTTCTTTTTGTCTATAGTGATCTCCATCCCTAAGATCTTTGTTGCAGGTCCCAAGTCATTGTCAAATTCTGAGTTGAGCATATCTTTAATCTTTTGGATTTCTTCCTTGCTTTTGCTAGCTACCAGCATATCATCCAAATATAGGAGCAGGTAAGTACTTATATCACCATGTTGCTTCTTCATGTACGCACAACTATCGTAGTTGCTTCTAACAAAACCAATCCTCAACACAAACTCATCAAATCTTTTATACCATTGTCTTTGGCTTTGTTTAAGTCCATATAATGATTTCCTTAGCAAGCAGACTGTCCCTGATTTCAAGCGTACAATACCCTTCTAGTTGGGCCATATAGATGGTTTCTTCCAACACTCCATATAAGAATGCAGTTTTAACATCTAGCTACTCCAGTTCCAAGTTAAATTGGGCCACTAGTGCTAAAACCAACCTGATAGAGCAATGTTTTACCGCAGGTGAAAAAATTTCATTGAAATCAATTCCTTCAAGTTGTGAGAATCTCTTTGCAACTAACCTGGCTTTATACCTGGACTTTCAATACTTCATATATCATCCTTGAATAACCACTTACAGCGAACTACTCATTGGTTCTTTGGTCTGTCCACAAGCTCCCAAGTTTTGTTTCTCATTAGAGAAGCTATTTCTTCATCCATTGCATCAACCACTTGTGTCTCTCCTTACTCTTAGAGCTTCCTTGTAATTGTTTGGTTCAGCTTCTTCTATCTCTTATGCAATACTCAAAGCGTAGGAGATCAAGTTTGCATGGCCATATCTTTCTGGTGGTCTGATGGTTCTTCTTTGTTTGTCTCTCACAAGATTGTAGTTATCCAATCTGGTTTCTGGTTCAGTTTCTTGCTAGCCTTCTACCTCTTCACCTTGATTTTGCACTCGGGTCCTTTGGTCAGCCACTGATTGTTGTTGTTGCAGCTCCACCTCAATTTGAACACCCTTCTTTGTAATTGTGTTCTTGTCGGCAGCTAAAAAGTTTGGGGAGGTGGTGGTTGCCCGTAAGAAGCTGTCGGTCGCTGGAAGTGAAATCTCGTCGCCCGCTTCAGAAGGACGTTTATA